CAGTAAGATGTTTTGGGATTTTGACATTGCTGATATCGATTTTGGTTGAGGTGGCAATGACAAATTTCTGGTGTGTTCTTCGTAGAGGAACTCGACTGAGGACCAGAGGTCCTAAGGGGGAAAAAGTAATTTAGCAAGGAAAAGGGGGAACAATCATCATCCGGCAATTTAGGTGACCATTACTTGTTATGCTGCTACACAAGAAAGACCACCTGTCTAACTCACATGCACACAAGGCAATGAAATGGGCCTCAGACACTTGTGGCATTAAAAAGTGTCTACCACGTAGGCAGTAGCAAACAAATGTGTATACTGCAAGCATTTAAAAATGGAAGTTTCACAGAACATCACAATCCAAGGATTTTCTCACCAGTCACAAGTAACAAGCCACTAGCCAGCTGCTTCAGGAAAACCACCCTCTGTAAGTTAAAAAAGAAAATAATTAGTTTTCTGCAATTAAAAACTGATTTCTAAATTCATAAAATCACAAGCATCTAAATTTGGGTAAAGGAAATTTCTACATGTATATGTATATAGCTCAGCAGTTCTGGAAGCAACCACAGCAAGCTACTAAGGTAGTACTCCAGGCATAAATACATTTTTGAGCAAATGAACATGTGTAACATAATCAACAGCAGGAAATGGCTAATAAATCACCACGGATTAAACTTGTTATTTGCCACAAATAAGTTGTATCTTGCAGATCATTTCCCCTTGCCCCAAACACAGGTAAATAAAAGAAAACTACACCTAGCATGCAAACGCATTGCCACCAGGAACCCCAGGCAGCTGCAGTGAAGCTCCTCAAGCACAGAAACTCTCACCTTGCCCCTGTGGCGTCCAGTGAGGATGATCAGAATGGTCCCGGGGGTAATGCTGGCTCGCAGTTTTCTCACGTGCTGACTGAAGGGTTTTTTGCCGTGGCTCAACAGCTTTCGAGGCACATCTTCAGTAGGATAATATCTAGGCTGGGGGGAGTCCATAGATCCAACTTATTTAAATAAGCCATTCAGATTGGTAGAAGCGAGCTATGTCAGCCAAACTTTTGCTATAGTCTTTTTATTTATTTTGAAGTATAACATTTACACGATTCCATTTTCATTTCTGCTAAGTAGATTTTAAACTTGGAAAAGGTCAATTATGGTTCTGCATCCTGTGTGCAAAACAGGATAGAAACCATTTAATGAATGAGCTGTGTGTTCAAGCAAATAAAGCATCAAGCAAGTCACCTTTGTAATCTTGAGCAAAAACTAAACCCCAGAGATTACATGTGTGACATGCCACATTTTGCAGATTAGGGATACACGGCTTGTTTTCCATTTCAAGTAAAGTGTGTTAATATCCTAGCCACTTCATCTGATCCTCACAGCAACAAGTCTTACTCCCACTTCATGCACAAAGGAAAACAAATTGCATAAAACCAGACAGTAGAACTGGCAGATCATTTGTTGCAAAAGTTAGACACCATGCAAGGGCCATTAAAGACATAACTACAAATAACTCACAATAACCTATTTCTAACTATACCGTATCATTAGTGCAGTCTCACTTTCACCACAAACATGATCGCCTAATAGGAAAACGAGTTCACAAGACAACTGTCAACTTCCCTCTCATGCAGTAATCTTCAACTGTGAAACTGTACAGTGTAACTTACTTGGGAACGTTCGCATAACGAAAATCACAGAGCAAATCCTGAGACTACATTGGGTCTTGTGTGTGGTAAAGGGGGCCAAGAAACACTGCTCTAGTGGGAAATGTTCTATACAACAGGCTCTGTATTATTTCATTTAATCTCCATAATAACTCTTTGAGGTAAACTCTCATTCCCATCTTTTTTTTTGAGATGGAGTCTCCCTCTGTCGCCCAGGTTGGAGTGCAGTAGTGCAACCTCTGCCTCCCGGGTTCAAGCGATTCTCCTGCCTCAGCCTCCAGAGTAGCTGGGACTACAGGCATGCAACCAGCTAATTTCTGTATTTTTAGTAGACATGTGGTTTCACCATGTTGGCCAGGCTGGTCTTGAACTCCTGACCTCAGGTGATCTGCTCACCTCAGCCTCCCAAAGTGCTGGGATTACAGGCATGAGCTACCATGCCCAGCCTCATTCCCATTTTATATGCAAAGGAACAAAGCACAGAAGACTAACTTAAATTATTTAAGATTAACAGTAAATGTTGAAGCCAAATTGCAAACCCAGAGCCCTTTATTTTCTACCAGAAATTCTCCGGTATGCAGAAACTTACAGTATCAAAGTATTCAAAAACACCTTCAGCATTCAAGCATAAACCGAAAATCCAATTTACAGTGTCCCCATATCTTACCATTTTGCGAAGTTTAACCACCCGGGTACCGCCATTCTTGTCACCACCAACTGGTTTTGTAAGAGTTGCAAGAACCTTCTCCTTCTTTTTCTTTTCAACCTGCAAGGACACAAATGCATCAACAATAAGAGAATGCCAATAAAGGGTAAGACATAATGGTCAGTGGTTCCCTCTTCCCTTACCTTGGATTTAGCGGCTGAGTACTTCCTCTTGTACATGGCCTTTCTGGAATACATGGCAGATCGGGAATACCTGCCAATTCCTCTGACAAGGACAGGGTTGCGGCTGCAATGGGGCTTCCCCTTCTTGGGCTTCTTAGCCTTGAGGTTACCCTTTTTCACCTTGCCACCAGCATCAGCCTTCTTGGCTTCGGGTTTCTTCTCTTTAGCATCTGGCTTCTCAACTTTTTCACCCGCCATCTACAAATATTTTTTGTAGACAAAAAAGGCATTTCATCTCTTTTTTTTTTTTTTTTTGAGACGAAGTCTTGCTCTGTCGCCCGGGCTGGAGTGCAGTGGCCGGATCTCAGCTCACTGCCAGCTCTGCCTCCCAGGTTTATGCCATTCTTCTGCCTCAGCCTCCCCTGTAGCTGGGACTACAGGCGCCCGCCACCTCGCCCAGCTAGTAAGGCATTTCATCTCTTAACAAGACAATGACGAACCTGTACATGAATGGGCTGAGCTCCCCAGACTACAATCCCTTCCCCGGTAAGATACAGGCCTTCAACTCTACCCATTCTACTCCAACCTTCACTATGTCTCATTTGGGGGTTGTCTCCCCAACACACTATATTCTCTTGAGGATTTGAAACTATCTCACACCTATTAGGTTTTTGCCAAATACTGAGCAGTCAGAAGTCCGTACAACCATTATTTTTTTATCACTGTTTTGCGAATTAGAAAACTTAGATGCAAAATGTGCCCACAGATTGGAAGCACCAGGACCAGAACTTGAAATTCCTTTTAGTACCTTTCGTCTTAACCCTTAAAACCAGTGTCTTTTTTCAAGAAACTCGATTTAGGAATTGCGAACACAAACAGAATCAGTCCAAACTGAGCCCAAACAGAAAAAGACCGCAAAGACCAAGAGGCGACTTCCGGTCGCAGACGCTGAGAGACGCGAAACGTTTTGGCTTCAGTGCGGAACCCAACGTGGCTGCGACAGGCTCACTGTCATCCTCTGGAACCCAGGACCGGGAACTCCATGCACGCGCCGTCGCCCCGCTTCCTCTAACACCCACCAGTACGCTACGGGTCCCCGAAAGGGCCTCGTTCCCCTAGTCCAAGAGAGTGGCCAACAGGCGGAGGAAGCCACTACGGCATTCTACCTCACCCTCTTCGTGCCCCGCCGCAAACCCAAACGGCAAAAATGAAGCGTCTGGAAGGCCTCTCAGTTAGCCTTGGGCATGTCCGACCCCTGCAGGTGTCGACTGGATGCCCTCCAGGTTCGGATGGCGAAGGATTGAAATCCTGAACTCGAGTCTTGCAGAGAACCCCGCCATTCTTACCTTGCAAGATGGGAAAGAGACCTAAGGTCTCGGCTTCCGGTCTATAAGCAATCATGGGAAGTGCGAGTCTCACTTCCTTCCGGATCTGGGGCATCATGGGGAATGTAGTATTTCGCTAATGAGAAAAAACTAGTAAATCCTAGGCCGGGTGGGGTGGCTCACGGCTGTAATCCCAGCGTTTTGGGAGGCCTAGGCAGGCGGATCACGTGAGGTTGGCAGTTCGAGACCAGCCTGGCCAATATGGCGAAATCCCGTCTCCACTAAAAATACAAAAGTTAGCCGGGCGTGGTGGTGAGTGCCTGTAATGTCAGCTACTCGAGGCGCGGAGGCAGGAGAATCACTTGAATCTGAAGGTGGAGGTTGTAGTAAGCCGAGATCGCAACACTGCTCTGGGCAACAGGGCAAGATTCTGTCTCAAAAAAGGCGGGGGGGAATGGCGGGGCGCCGTGGCTCACGCCCCTAATCCCTGCACTTTGGGAGGCCGAGGCGGGTAGATTGCTTGAGGTCAGGGGTTTGAGACCAGCCTGGCCAACATGGTGAAACTCCATCTCTACTAAAAATACAAAAATTAGCCGGTCCTGGTGATGGGCGCCTGTAATCCCAGCTACTTGGGAGGCTGAGGCAGGAGAATCGCTTAAACCCAGGAGGCGGAGGTTGCAGTGAGCTGAGATCCTGCCACTGCGTGCCACTGCACTCCAGCCTCAAAGACTCAGTCTCAAAACAATAACAGACTCAGTCTCAAAACAATATCCAGACTCAGTCTCAAAACAATAACAACAACAACAAGAAAATTAGCTGAGTGTGGTGGTTAGTGCCTGTAGTCCCAGCTACTTGGGAGGCTAAGGTGGGAGGATCACTTGAGTCCTGGAGGTCTGGGCTGCAGTGCAGTGAGCCCTAATCTTGTCACTTGAGATAAAGTCGGTGGTCCCCTCTCCCTTACCTTGGATTTAGCAGCTGAGTACTTCCTCTTGTACATGGCCTTTCTCATTCCTGTCTGGCCTACAGAATGAGACTTTGTCTCAAAAAAAGTAAAAAAATATAAAATGAGGATAGCAATAGTAACTTCATAAGGTTGTTGGGAACATTAAATAATATACACAACAGTACTGAGAAGCATATTTGATGGATGGTAAATGCTACATAAGTGTTAGCTCTTTTTTTTTTTCTTTTGAGATGGAGTCTCGCTCTGTCATCCAGGCTGGAGTGCCGTGGCGTAATCTTGGCTCAAGGCAACCTCTGTCTCCCGGGTTCAAGTGATTCTCCTGCCTCAGCCTCCCGAGTAGCAGGGAGAACAGGCGCACATCACCATGCCCAGCTAATTTTTTGTATTTTTAGTAGAGACAGGGTTTCACCATGATGGCCAAGCTAGTTTTGAACTCCTGACCTCAAGTGATCCACCCACCTCAGCCTCCCAAAGTGCTACGATTACAGGCGTGAGCCACCATGCCTGGCCAACTGTTAGGTCTTGTTATTGTCACCATCATCACCACTATCATCTGATCATCAACATCCTAGTTGTTGTTAAGTATTCTGCTAAAGTTTATGCGCCGGATATAATAAGCAATATTGCATGTAATGTGCCTTGCTTTATCTCATTTAATTCTCCCAACAACCTGTGAACGATACTATTATGAGGAAACTGAGGTAAGTCCAGGACATTAAGTAACTTGCTCACAGCATAGATCTGATTCCAAAGATTGCACTCTTGACCATTAGGCTGCAAGATTAAAGAGATGATTAATGAAGATGCATAAGAGTTTTGCTCATGTTAGAATTAAAAATAAGAATACTTGTTATCTTTTGCAAAATAACACAGTATATGTGATAGTTCTTTACTGCTTCAAAGCCCTTGAGCCAACATGTACACATTTGTAATACCTTCTATCTTGCGTTTTCCATTTTCCTCCATTTGTTTTTTTCTGGTTGCTAGAGCTTTTCACCTTGATTTTTTTCAGATCGAAACCACCTGCTTCATGGCTGTGTCTCTGGGAATCATTTAGCCTTTTTCTGATTCTGATTGACTGAAGATACAAATACAATGATCAGATGAACACTGCCCTTTTTTTTTGAGAATGGGAATGTCAGCAGCTTTATTTGTTTAGCTTCCTCAGCAAAGCACCTCTTAGAAACTTCAACTGCAGTAAATATACTACAATGAATGAATGAAATGCACAGCTGCTTACGTACGCCCCTCAAAATTTCTGGCAATCTCAGAGAATTTCACCTAGTAAACACCCCAAAATAGTTGTTGAATGACCTGTCAATAAAATAAAAACGTAGATGAACCCCCTCTTGTGTTTTGTTGCAGTATTGCAAAATTTACAATTCATTAGTTGGACAAAATAACATGTTATAAAGTAAATATTTTTATTAAGCTTAGTTTTGCATGTATAAAATTCTCTGAAATTTGTGCAGCACTTTAATCACAAAGCAGACATTTTTGCAGACACTTAACCTTTTTTTTTTTTTTTTTTCTGAGTTGGAGTCTTGTTCTGTTGCCCAGGCTGGAGTGCAGTGGCGTGATCTTGGCTCACCGCAACTTCTGCCTCCTGGGTTCAAGCCATTCTCCTGTCTCAGCCTCCCGAGTAGTTGGGACTACAGGCGCCCACCACCACGCCCGGCTAATTTTTTGTGTTTTTAGTAGAGCCCGGGTTTCACCGTGTTAGCCAGGATGGTCTTGATCTCCTGACCTTGTGATCCGCCTGCCTCGGCCTCCCAAAGTGCTGGGATTACAGGCGTGAGCCTGGCAATTTTTTTGCATTTTTATTAGGGACGGGATTTCACCACGTTGGCCAGGCTGGTTTCAAACTCCTAACCTCAGGTGATCTGTCCACCTTGGCCTCCTAAAGTGCTGGGATTACAGGCCTGAGCCACCTCACCCAGCTTAATTTTTTTTTTTTTTTTGAGACGGAGTCTCACTCTGTCGCCCAGGATGGAATGCAAGGTGAGATCATGGCTCACTGCAGCCTTGACCTCCTGGGTTCAAGCAATCCTCCCACCTCAGCCCCCTGAGTAGGTGGGAGTACAGTGCACACCACCATACCTGGCTAATTTTTTTACATTTTTTGTAGACACGGGGTCTCACAATGTTGCCTCAGCTGTATTTTTTGTTTTTTGTTAGACAGTAAATCTTTTAAAGCCTGGCAACATGGTGAAACCCTGTCTCTGCTAAAAATACAAAACTTAGCCAGGCTTGGTGGCAGGCGCCTGTAGTCCCAGCTACTGGGAGGCTGAGGCAGGAGAATGGTGTGAACCCGGGAGGTGGAGCTTGCAGTGAGCCGAGATCGTGCCACTGCACTCCTGCCTGGGCAACAGAGCAAAGACTCCGTCTCAACAAATAAAAGAAAATAAAGTAAAATAAAATTCAGATGGAGTTTTTTTTTTTTTTTTTTTTTTTTTTTTTGCTATGTTGCCCAGGTTGGTCTCAAACTCCTGGTCTCAAGAGATCCTCCTGTTAGCTACCATGCCCGGCCATATAAATTCATATGCCAGGCACTGCTCCAGGCATATAAAGATGGGAAGACCAGCCGGTGGCTCATGCCTGTAATCCTAGCACTTTGGGAGGCGGAGGCAGGATGATTGTTTGAGCCCAGGGGTTTTAGACCAATCTGGGTAACATGGCAAAACCCTCTCTGTATTAAAAAAAAAAAAAAAAAAAAAAAGAAGACAATGACTTTGTCTTAAAAGGAGCTCATAATCTAGAGGAAGACACAGAACAACGATGACAGAACCCACAATGATGTTGAAATGTGTTAGGTGCTGATAGAGGCATGAAAAGGCAACCTCAGGAGCATAGGAAGGGAGTCTCTCTTTTATTCTCAAAAAGTGAAAGAATGTTTTCTGGAGGAGCTGCTTAAGTTGGAGCTGAACCTTGCATGACTGTTTTCCAGATGGAGAAGGGTTTGAAGAGTATTCCGGGCAGTAGGAACTAAATTTTGGAAGGCAGGGATGCAAGAAACAGCTAGAAGCCTTTAGAAACTGCCAGATTATGTGAGGGTGTTGGCACAGGCCATATCTAGAAGGGACTGATGTACTAAGGGAAGGAGTTCAACTTAATGCTAGAGGGTTTGAACCTCCCTCATACAACAGGGGAGTGACGTGATTAAATTTGTATTTTAGAAAGATCATTCATTCTAGTTGCAGAGTATGCAGAATATAGGAAACACTAGGGAGGTAGTAGTTCCTGCACTCAAAGAGCTAATAGTTTACTTTGGAAAAGAGACAAATGATAGCCAGCTTTTATCAAGTGCTGACTTTGCCAGACACTGTTCTAAGGACTTCACAAACCTACCCTATGGTAGGATTTTGATTCCTATTTTACAGAGAAGGAAACAGACACAGAGGAGTCAAATGACTTGCTTATAGACACCCAGGCTGCCAGATCAAGTGGCCGGGTGCAGTGGCTCACACCTGTAATCCTAGCACTTTGGGAGGCCGAGGCAGGCGGATCATGAGGTCAGGAGATCAAGACCATCCTGGCTAATGTGGTGAAACCCCATCTCTACTAAAAAAATTACAAAACATTAGCCGAGCGTGGTGGCGAGCACCTGTAGTCCCAGCTACTTGGGAGGCTGAGGCAGGAGAATGGCTTGAACCCGGGAAGGGGAGCTTGCAGTGAGCCGAGATGGCGCCACTGCACTCCAGCCTGGGAGACAAAGTGAGACTCCGTCTCAAAAAAAAAAAAAAAAAAAAAAAAGAAAGAACTTAATTGGATGCTTCTTATATGATACAGGCTCTTAGATTTATAGTGTAGTGTGTTAGGTTCTAAGATAGGTGTCTTGGTGACCAGCTGACCTGGACTAGAGAATTAGGTGAGGCTTGTATTCCAGAGGAAGTGGCTCCTAGTCTGAGATCAGAGGCATAGAGTTGATGTGGAGGAGAGTCAGGAAGAACCCTCTGGGGAAAGAAAGCAGACTGTTAAAAGGCTCTAAGTTGGGAAAGAATATGGCATATTGAGGGGAGCTGAAAGTCATTCAGCATAGCTGGATCATAGAAAATGAAGTGAGTAGTGGGGAGACGGGCTGATGAAGTGATTGGGGATCAGAGTTAAAAAACTCCGGTGCATTGGTTCACACCTGTAAATCCAAGGCCTTAGGAGGTCAAAGTGGGAGGACTGCTTGAGGCCAGGAGTTCAAGGCCAGCTTGGGCAACATAGCAAGACCTTGTGTCTGAAAAAATTTTTTTAAACTTTTTTTTGGGCCGGGCATGCTGGCTCACGCCTGTAATTCAGCACTTTGGGAGGCTGAGGTGGGTGGATCACTTGAGGTCAGGAGTTGGAAAGCAGCCTGGGCAGCATGATGAAACCCTGTCTCTACTAAAGATACAAAAAAAAAAAAAAAAAAAAATTAGCTGGTAATGGTTGTGCGTGCCTGTAATCCCAGCTACTTGGGAGGCTAAAGCAAGAGAATCACTTGAATCCGGGAGGTGGAGGTTGCAGTGAGCCGGGATTGCGCCACTGCACTCCAGCCTGGGTGACAGAGTGAAAGTCCGCCTCAAACAAAACAAAAAACTTTTTTTTTTGTAGGGACAGGGGTCTTAATCTGTTGCCCAGGCTGTTCTTGAACTCTTCGGGCTCAAGCAATCCTCCCACCTAGGAGTCCCAAAACACTGGGATTACAGACGTGAGCCACCACACCCGGGGGGATAAACCTTTTCTTTTTTTTGGATTTCATCCTAAAAACAAGGAGAAGCCATTGACGAATTCAATGTAGGGAGTGACTAGTTTTGCAGTTTTTTTTTTTTTTTTTTGAGATGGAGTCTCGCTCTGTCGCCCAGGCTGGAGTGCAGTGGCGCAATCTTGGCTCACTGCAACCTCCACTTCCTGGGTTCAAGCAATTCTCTCGCTTCAGTCTCCCAAGTAGCTGGGACTACAGGTGCCCACCACTGCACCCAGCTAAATTTTGTATTTTTAGTAGAGATTGGGTTTCACCATGTTGGCCAGGCTGGTCTCAAACTCCTGACCTCAGGTGATCCACCTGCCTAGGCCTCCCAAAGTGCTGGGATTACAGGTGTGAGCCACTGTGCCTGGCCACAATTAATTGTATTTTTAGTAGAGACCAGGTTTCACCATGTTGGCCAGACTGGCCTCGAACTCCTGACCTCAGGTGAGCCACCTGCCTTGGCCTCTCAAAGTGCTGGGATTACAGGCATGAGCTACGGTGCCCCACCTAGTTTTGTAGTTTAGATTACTCTGGCTACTATGTGGAGATTGGATTAGGAAGTTTAGGCCTGCAGGCCTGAGATCAGTTAAAATGTTGCTTGTCATCTAGGTGGCCAGGTTTAGGGAGAGGGACAAATGCTTGTTGAATGGCTATTATGTGAATTAAATTGACATATATTAAAGGTGATCTCTGTAAGGAGCACATGAGTGCTGAAGCAGTTAGCACACAGTATGAGAGTCATTTGTATATGAATGAAATGGGCAAGCATTAAAACATGAGGATGCTGGAGCTATATAGATATGGGTTAAACTTATGGCTCTGCCATTCACTAGATCTGTAGCCTTTATTTATTTATTTTGAGAAAGAGTCTTGTCCTGTCGCCCAGGCTGGAGTGCAGTGGTGCGATCTGGGCTCACTGCAACCTCTGCCTGTCTGGTTCAAGCAATTCTCCCACCTCAGCCTCCGGAGTAGCTGGGACTACAGGTGTGCACCACCAACCCCGACTAATCTTTTTATTTTTAGTTGAGATGGGGTTTCACCATGTTGGCCAGGCTGGTCTTGAACTCCTGACCTCAGATGATCCACCCACCTTGACCTCCCAAAGTGCTGGGATTACAGGTGTGAGCCACCACACCCAGCTAGATCTGTAGCCTTCAATGAGTCATATGGGCATCAATCAAGTAAAAAACTCCACTCTTCTCAATCTGGTCTGAGTCACCATTATTCCCAGACCAGAATACTACAGTATTCCCGTATTTTGACTGGCTTCTCTGTTTCTGGCCTTGCCCTCTTCCTCGAGCTTCACAGTGTCCAAAACAATACTTCCCCACCACCCAGCTTTTTTGTTTGTTTGTTTTTTGTTTTAGAGACAGGGTCATGCCATGTTGCCCCAGCTGATCTTGAACTCCTAGGCTCAAGCAATCCTCCTGCCTCGGCCTCCCAAAGTGCTGGGATGAAAGTGTGAGCCACCATACCTGGCCTGAGTGCAGTGGCCTGATCTCGGCTCACAGCAGCCTCGACCCTCCAGGCTCAAGCAATTCTCTCACCTCAGCCTCCGGAGTAGCTGGGACTACAGGCGCGTGCCACCACACCCGGCTAATTTTTGTATTTTTTGTAGAGATGGGATTTCACTATTTTGCCAGGGCTGGTTCCCAACTCCTGGACTCAAGCGATTCGCCCGCCTCAGCCTCCCAAAGGGAAGTGCTGGGATTTCAGGCGTGTGCCACTGCTCCCACCCCAAAGTAGTATTTGTTATTATTATTATTATTGAGACGGAGTTTGGCTCTATTGCAGGCTGGAGTGCAGTGGTGCGACCTCGGCTCACTGCAACCTCTGCCTCCCAGGTTCAAGCGATTCTCCTGCCTCAGCCTCCCAAGTAGCTGGGATTACAGGGGAACGCCACCACGTCCAGCTCATTTTTGAATTTTTAGTGGAGACCATGTTGGCCAGGATGGTCTCGATCTGTTGACCTCGTGATCCGCCCGCCTCGGCCTCCCAAAGTGCTGGGATTACGGGCGTGAGCCACCGCGCCCGGTCTATTACTAGTTTTTTAGGCAGTGTCTTGCCCTGTCGCCCAGGCTGGAGGGCAGTGGCGTGATCACGACTCACTGCAGCACCGACTTCCCGGGCTTAAGTTATCCTCCCGCCGCAGCCTCCACGCCTGGTTAGGGTTTTACATTTTTTGTAGAGATGAGGTCTTTTTTGCCCAGGCTGGCCGCTAGCTCCTAGGCTTAAGCGACCCTCTTGCCGCAGCCTCCTAAATTGTTGGGGTTACGGGCGTGAGCCACCGCGCCCAGCCTAATGGAGGAAACTGAGGCTCGGAGACAGTAGGTAATTTCCCCAAGGTTCCACAGCTAATGAGTAGAGCGGCGATTTGTGGAACGAAATGAATGAAATCGATGTGGCAGTGGGCCCGGACGCGCCAGGTCGGTGGAGTGGCGTAGCCGCCGAGCGCGCAGCTCACACCCGGCAGCCGCGATTTCCGGGAGGAAGCAAGGATGCTTTGGACGCTGCGCTTAGCGCCTCCGCGGAACCCCCGCGCTGCCATTCCCGGCCGTGGCTCGGTCCTCGGCTGACGGGAAGCAGGAAGTG